AGATTCTAAATTTCATGAATATACATTATTAAATTATTTTACAACTAATATTTCTATTTAGTATTATAGTTATACAGAAGAAAAAAATAAAACTGATTTACATGGAAGTTAAAAAATTTATCTTTATATTATACATTAACATATAGTCGAAATTTTAAAATGTAATACACACTTTATCTAATTTAAATTTTTAAATATCATATATGTACATATAATATATAAATTTTTTGTTACTTCTGTGCATAATGCCTTATTCTGCAATTGTAGCATATCATAAAACTTGGCCACTTGGGAGAAGACCTGATACTGTGCAAGGCTTGAACAGTCATAAACAAAGGCCTCAAAGTTGTGTTCTTCCAGTTTCACTGGAAAAACCATCTTGGAGATTTTCGTGGGATTCATAAACAAAGTGGCAGCCCTCTTCTAAATGGGCATTAAAAAAGAGTTGGTTCAATTCTAAACTCCAAGAATCACAACAAACAGAAAAAAGAAACAATTGGTTCAATTCTGAACTCCAAGAATCACAATTCTAAACTCCAACAATCACACACAGCAAATCAATGGTAAAAAAGCACGTAGGGGGCAGTGCCCCACATGTAGCATCGAAATTTTCCGGGTGCACTATGATACTTTTGATGTTCTTGGAATAGCAATTAGCTTTTAATATTATCACATGATGTTCGATATGCAATATTGCTCGAAAAGGATGTATGTTTCTTGATTATCATAATCAACAGTTGGTACATAAAAAAAAAGGATGTATGTTTCTTGATTATCATAAAACTTAAAGATAGATTATATTTCCATACTAAAAGTAATATTTACCAATCTCTTCATCATAAACATGAAGCAATGTTCTCCTTGAATTGCAAAACCAAATAAGCCACAATTCCACCCAGGACATGGATAAGCCACAGTACAATCATCAGTGCTACATGTAAATTAATTATCTATAAAAGCAAATTAGAGTTTTTAAGAAGACAATTTTAAACAAATAAAGAAAGGAAGTGTGTGTGTGTGTGCGTGTGTGTGTGTGCGTGTGTGTGTATGTGTGTGTGTGTGTGTGAGAGAGAGAGAGAGAGAGAGAGAGAGAGAGAGAGAGAGAGAGAATCTGAACTAAAGTGTCGAAGAGCCACACATGCGTATAATATTTTGAATGAGCTTATTTATCGCTTCCATAAAGCTAGAACCAACATAATATAGATCCATACAGGAATCCAAAGGCTATAAGAATGAATATAAGTTGCATGTTCCTATGCGTGCCGACACAACATAAACTATAAAGGAAAAGAAAGAAAAGAAAAGAAAAGAAAAGAGCATTCTTCTTCAATACCTGGAACCTAAGCCATATTACCAACAATGTTCACAGGGAATATATTGTGTAAACACTATAAACCTGCAATGGTACTAAACATGTACAAACAGAAAGTGGTCGCACCTGTTATCTAATTTTATCAGATTTACATAATTTATTAACTATGATATCAAATATTAAAGTTATAGAATTGCCATCGACACTCCAGTTCTCAACCTTCAAATAATTACTACCAAAGCAACATGAAATAAACAGCACAACTTTAAACAGAGGAATGCACAAACAAGAGACTGCGGCATTACGCAACAACATATATAGTACAAGTCAACAACTAGAATTATACCTATCGATACAGCACACAGTCCAAATAAAGCTGAACTGCGTTACCGGCACAGGCCTTGAGCAACACATTAACAAATCCCAGTTTAAATTCATAATTTAAACAAGGTCAACACAGTCATTTTATGTATATGCATAGAAGCCAACTGGCCACAATTTACAAATTACAAGCTAGAAAAGACGCCTAAGCAACTGTAACCGCAACTGTAAGAGCCTTTGAGCTGTGCATGTGAATGTACAACCAACATCCAACAATGAAAGTTCACGAGTGACACCAAAAACAGTCAAGAGTTAAGTTAGAGCAGGTCACCGGAATAGCTGACTCTACATGATCTCCCCATGCCTGAACCCACCATCACCACAATCAGCTCCAGGATCAAGTCCACCAGGAGAATCCAACCATTTTGGATTTTCGGGGTATAAACTGTTTACCTGTATACCGACAAGACCTTCTACATCTGACGTTATTATCTCGTCGTGTCTTAAGGGATTGATCATGTTAGGGTTACTGCACCCAATATTATCCTTCTGATCGAAGTCGTCACATTTAGACCACTTGGCTTTATAATTGTCACTAAGGATATCTTTCCCTTTCCTGCCCTCTATCCTCATCTGATTCCAAGAAGCAACCTCCCCAAGAGTTCTCCCAAAGCTGGCCTCGTCATCTTCCAAACCATCAGCATCCTTCCCATCCCCATAGATCCTTGTGTGATGGTCATCAACCCAGTCTGGCAAATCATGCTCCACTACTAAGACATCATCTAGATCCTGTTTCTCTGACAGCAACCCAACAGATTTTGAACCATCATCTGCAACATTCCTAAGTCTATTCACGATTTCAAAGAGCTCACGTGACACAGTGTCCAACCGTGGGGACGGCATTTTCCCAATCCTACTCTCCAGCAAACCCAACTCATTTCTCAATTCCTGGACCTGATGCAAAACCGTACTCTGCAGATCGCTCAAGTTCTTTCCTGAGAACCTAAAACCCTCAGTTTCCCCATCCTCAGCCATCCCATACACAGTCTCCTGATCTATCAAAACACCCCCTTTATGACCCAACACTCGATGCATGATCCTCGCATTCCCATCCAACGGCCCTGGCTCGTGCCCTGAGTGCACCGCATAAAGCTTGAACACAGCTGTTCCCTCTTCCTCATAAACAAATGTCTTTTCCTTATCATTATAATTTGATATGGGAACTATTGCCCTTATACGAAACTGACACCCACACCGCTTGGAAGCATACTGCTCCCTTTTCAGAAACCGGGGCTTTTTTGCCGGCTCACCTGCCCTGTGGCAGGCATAATCCTTAACCTCAGCCATAAATGGCTTGTACCTGATGTACTTCTGCCGTATGCATAACACGACCTTATGCTTGGCTGCCAGCTGTTGCAACCGCGTCTGCACTTCCTTGGCGGGCACATCCAGAGACTCCGTGTATTCAAACTTACGCTTCTTGGACTTTGGTGCGCAGCCAGAGGACTCATCCAGGCATAAAGGACAAGTAGCCAAACACGTCCTGATATAACTCTCGGGTATGCCGTAATATTTGGCCCCCACGGTCCATACTTGCTTAATTCTCTCTGTGGTGTCTTTCAACCCTAGGTGCTGGAAATCGGCATCCCCATGGTACGACATGACTATGTCCTGCCACTGGTCAATGTGCGACACGAATTGACTGAGGTTGTTCTTGAAACAGAGGAAATGGGTGCAGTTGTTATCAATGACGGAGGCAGCGGATTCCGACACGTGGACGGTGAGCTTATCCTGGATGCGCTTCCACGCCGTCAGATAGGCTGTGTCCTCGTTCCGATCCTTCCACACCGAACGCCAGGTGGATAGCAGCGGCGCAGGGGTCACCGCCCGGATCTCCTCCGGCGTCGCCGTCCGACCCCCAATCAGGCACCGAATCATTAGGGAGTGGGAATCCTTATTAAAGGTGTAGAATTGGGCGGAGACGTGCGGCTCGGGGTTGATTCGGAGAGGGGACTGCTGAATTAGCCTCTTTCCGCGGTCAATCGGAGGTGGGGGAGGGTCCGGCAAATTAGGGCTCCGGGCGGGGACAGCGCCGTTCGGGGGGGCGAGGGGGATTTCGGCGTCTGAGGAGGTGCGACTGACGTCGTCGTCTTCTTCGTCATCACGGAAGAGATCGATCTCGGCGAGGGAGAAAGCTTCGTCGTCGATGGGTGGCTGGGGCTGGTGGTGGCCGAGGCCGATGAACTGGTGGTTGTCGTGGAGTATCGGCGGCGGGCCGAGATGGTGGAAAAGGTCCTCCTCGATTTTGCTTGGATTCATTTGGGAGAGATGCAGTAGAAGCTTTTCTTCGCTGTAACTGAAGTGGTAGAGTTTCTGTCAATGGTGGTTCTGACATTAGGGAGAGGGTGCTGCCATTGACAATTTCAGTTTAGTTCTCTCTGTAAATATTTTTATTTCTGGATGTGCACATTTATAATATAATAATAATTAAATAAAGGTGTGAGACTTTTGACTCGGGTCAAGCATGTACATCTGGAATGGCAGGACATGGATAATGTGGAGAAACAAATCAAAAGGAAAATATCAGTGGCAATAGACATGTTTAGGGGTGAGCAAAATCGAGTCGTAACCGAAAAACCATCGAACTGAGTTATTCGGTGTGGTTATTGAAGAGTTAGGTTATCGGTGCGATTTAAGTTTTGGAAAATCATAAATATTTCAGTGCAGTTCGATTTTCTGTCCGAAGGGCGCACTTTTAACCGAACTGCACCGAATGTCATAAAATATCACTTTTAAAAAAAAAATAAAAATAAAAAGAAAGTATCACTTTAATTTTTACACTTTTACTTACATTACATTAATTGGTGGTTATTTTTGTAACGCACTATTTTGATTTACGAAATAATTCATGGCTTATTCAAAAAAATCAAGTTAAAATTTTTGAAATTCATTTTCGATTTCAACATTTATGGCGCTACTCAACATCAACCACATATATCAATACATCTCATCATCTCAATAATCATCATGTCAATGATCAACATGGCATCAATAAACATAAGTTTAAATCGACCTATCCTCAGGTCTCAGTTCATAACCACGCATAGGGTTTCCAAAGCAGTTTATCAAATCCGACGTCATATCACGTCTAACCAAAGTATCTTAAAATATCAATGGTATCCCAAAAAAGTTCAACAACAGATAGTTCATAAAAATGCAGAAGCAAATATAAAGGGCCAATGTCATCACATGACTGACCATTACTCGTCTTCACTCATCGTACCTGCCACCTGCTCAACCTGAAATAGGGGGCGGGGGACATAGGAGTGAGCACAAACCACTTACTCACTACTATGCACATAAATCATAAAATAGGATAGTCAGGTATGGTCGCAGCATGAACATGAATCAATCAAAAATCCCATCTCCTAATCATCATAATACTCATGTGCACATATCTATAAAGCTACTGAGTGTCTTCGTATCGATTGCCTATGTGCATTCCATACATCGGCGCCCACTCAGTAGGAGTATCTGTCGACGGCCAAGGCCCAACCTTGGTCTTACAACGACATACATATCGAAGGCCTTTGGCCACTGCCCCAGTCTTACAACGATATGGCCTTTGTACAGGTCTTATGGAGACTGTCCCAAAAGGGCTCGTACTACGTAGACGGGGATAACCGTTCAACGACCGACACAGCTACATTGAAGGCTACATGGTTCAGAAGCATACATTGATCATACCATCAAAACAATACAAACAATTCACGGCATAAATATTTTATTGTGCTTTAGTAGAGTCGTTTTTAGAGCTTCGCTCGTCAAACACCTACATTTAGTCAAGATAATTTCATCAACATATTATCTTGTCCCCTAGAAGAAGCCACGAATATTCATACTTAGTCAAACATCTGTTTGTTATGATTTTGTGGTATTTTATTTTGCTTTAGTAGAGTCGTTTTTAGATTCATTTTAGTGTCAAACAGTCCATTTTGTCGTGTTTTAGGTGTTTTCATTCTCGTTATGTATTTTTGTATTTTCCATATTTTCTTGCGTACTTTTGGTGTGTTCTTTAGGTCCAACTTGCACGATTGGGAAGATGAGCTATTTTCCTGTTGTTAAACGAAATTGTAACAACATGGGGTATTCAGAGTTGTATGTATATTGTCGGATTTCTATGTATTTTGTTGTGAATCAAATCAAAGAATCAAAAGAAATTGAATTGGAAGAAAATTCATAAGAAAAGGAACAGAGAGACGTTTTTCATAATAGAGGCGGTGCCTCTTTGTTGAAGATAAGAGAATACCACCCCTCAGTCCTATCCTATAGCCCATATTTATTTATACATCTTTATATTTGGGCTAATATGGGCCCGTACATTTAATGGGTTTTCACAATACACATGTAATTAATCAAATATGGCCGCGCAGGGCCCAATAATAAATATGACCGCGCAGGGCCCAATAATTATAATACATAATGGCTTTGACCGGCACTTCGACTGACATTTGTCTTGTTGATAATTATTTTGTCTGTCGAGGCGACTTCTTTGTGATATCCAGGTCGGGCTGGCGATTTCTGGAAGCAGACAGTCTTGTCTTATGAGAACTCGGTCAATATAAATCAGATGAAAGAACCTACTATTTTATATTTACTTAATATATATATATACATGTCGTATCTTAATAGGCGAGGCCAAAATTGAGTAACAACAGTTGGCCCCCGACTTTAGGACATGTTCTGAATAGAACTGTTATGAAGTCGCATGTATAGTCAATTTTGGCTGACTTTTTCTTTATAACATGCTCGTGCTTAAGGCTTTTTACATTGTGGTAAATAACGTACGAACGCTATCCGGGTGCTTTGAGACTCGTGGTCACTTTATTAATCGTGTTCAGGCTTGGACTAGACGTATTGACGCTAATCATATTTTTGTTCTAACGAATCAAATCGTAGCATAAATAGCCAATTAGTTGGAATTGTTATAGGAATAGGGTCTGAGTGGCCTAGTCGGGTTATTTCGTACCCGTTTTTGGTGTTTTGCGTGTAGTGTGAAGTGTTTGATTGATTTGCTTCTGTAATGATGATAGTAGTATGTATTTGTGTAAGCACTCGGTCCCCTCGAATTGTTTATCGTATTCGCAGTTTTCTCGTATTCAGACGACGCGATTTTTGATTTTATGATCGTGTTTGTTTTTTTTAAGATGGACCTGGTCAAATAACTCGATATCCGATCTTTGGTTTTATTTTTATTTAATTATTGCTCGATCGGGTAGTGTGCTCCCCTGATGTAATTTGTAGAGAGCGTTAGCCTCGCTAAACCAACTTCAGGGTTTGGAACAGAAAGGGTGTGTAGCCTCGCCAAACCAACTTCAGGGTTTGGAAAAGAAGTTTTTATGTCACGATGTATGTATGATGCGCGTATATGATGAATGTATGTATTAATGCATGAATATATAATAAGCACGTGCGGTAAATAATTAATGCACGATAAATGATGTTACCTCGATGTTTCCTCGAGTCTGATTTTTCCTGCCGATAGGTGTTGTGCGTTGCCGAAATATTGGTCGTACCAAATCAACTTCAGGATTTGGCGAAAGAAGATGTGTTGCCCGACTATTTTAATGGTCGGTTTTACTGTAATCCCGCTAAATCAACTTCAAGATTTAGCCATGAAAGGCATCAGCCTCCCCAAGCCATCTTCAGGGCTTGGAAGTATCTGACTGTTTTGCATTAGCCTGTCCAGGTCATCTTTGGGACTAAGAAACGTTAGGCTTATGCAAAGTGGACTTATTTTTTGAGAGTCCATTGGCTGAACTATTTTTTGAGATTTTGGCTAAACCGAGTTTTCTTTCGTTACTTGGTATCGTGTTTTCTTTTCGGCACTCGATTTTTATTTATCCGGCCGGAGCAAAGGCTCGACGACGGGAAATAATGGGCGTCAGCTCAGCCGGAGCCGAGGCTCTACGGAGAGCGAATATGAAGACGTCGGCTCAGTCGGAGTCGAGGCTCAACGACGAGCAAATATGGACGTAGGCTCAGCCCGAGTCGAGGCTCAACGACGAGCAAAATATGGACGTCGGCTCAGCCGGAGTCGAGGCTCCACAGCGAGCGAAATAGAGACGTCGGAGATAAATGACCGATGGCAGCGTAAAAGAATTCGGCCCCAGTCTTGATGAATGTATTCGACCCCGGTTATTATCGGGGTGAATGAACAAGCTCAGACCTGGCCCCCGGCGGTTAAGATAAATAATCTCAGCTTCAGCTCCGACGGTTTGAATAAATAAATTCGGCCCCGGCTTTCGTTGGCTTGAGTAAATAAATGTGGCTTCGGATGCTGCTGGCATAATGAAATGAGCTCGGACTTGAAGATTAATTGTCAACTAGTCTTTGAACTTATATGTTACTAGCCCAATCGTTGTCCATGACCCAATGCTCTCTACCAGCCCACACTTGTTTTTTACTAAGCCCAAGGCCCAATATTGAAAATAACAGGAGCTTCTCAAGTGGGGACTTGAGTTGCAACGATCAGCTCTGAGAAATTCAGAACTTGAGATATCTTTCGACGACAAAGTGAGTTGGTTTAGTTTTCATCAGAAGTTACGCGTATTTGTCGGACAAATTAAAAGAGCGTCTCGGTCAAGGTCGGCCGTAGCGAATTTGGACGGGTGACGCAAGCTGATTTTGTTCGGAATCCACCTATCGATGCGAGGGCTATCCGTTAATTTCGTGGTGGAGAGATGAAATTCGACGATTTGAAATCGGAGGTGTGTACCTCGGTTTGGAGGTCGATGGAGGTGAGACTGGGCGGCGACGTCGGAGGTTGAGATGTCGCGTTCCAGTTAGGTCGGGCCAGTCTGTTGAAGTCAGGTCCGAGGTCGGTT